AGAGCATCATGAACAATAGGTTTAGGTAAAACTTTTAAATTCATTAACTTTTGACTTGGTTGATTACCAAATTGTATTGAATAAGTACCTTCATCATTTGGATTAACATTTTCTAAAGTTATTTCAGTTGATGTTGATGATACTGGTTTAATTGTTAAACGTGTATTTTGATCAAGTTTCTTATCATTTTGTAATAAAAATGTTTGTTTCACATCTGTATCACTTGGTCGTTCAATTACTAAATTAACACTATCACCTTCGACAACTTCATGTGTAGGAATTTCTTCTGGTTGTTCTTCTTCTTCCTCTACAATTTCTTCAACAACACCTTGTTGTAATGGAATATCTGCTTCCGACTTTCTTTCTCGACCTGGTGTTACTTCGAGCATACAAAGTGGTTGCATTTTTCCATTAAATTCAACTGTATATCGTCCAACATCTTCTGGAGTAGCATCTGAAACAACAACATAATTGTCTGTTTTACCATCTTTTTCAATTGTGATACGACTATCTTCATCCGTAAGTGTTGTAACTGGTTGATTATTGATGTATAGATTTATTTCACTTGATTCTGTTGTTTTTGAGTCAGGAATACGAATAGTTATTGTATCACCTTGAGGAACTTTAACAATAGGAACTTCAATTTCACTTCGATGTGTTTCTTCTTGTTCGACTTTAGGCGTCTGCAATTGCGAATAAAAAAGCAAAATGAATTAATCAATGCATAAAAAGTAAAAAAAGAAAATATATACTTCTTCAATGACTGATGTTACTTCTTCGACAGTCTGTAATGAAAGGAAAGAAGTGTTTTAATATGATTAACCGAAAAGGGAAATATTCATGCACGAGAACATTTAAAAAAAGATATTTTCTAGGAAAGTTTCGTCTGTATACAATACCTCTTCTACTACTTCCTTAACAACATGTGGTTGTGAAGCTTCAATGGTGATTGTTTCTTCTTCTATTGTCACAGTTTCACTTTGAGGTTTCTTTTCTTCAGGAATAACACTTATTGATGGTGTATCAAGAATTAAATGATCTGATTTTAGTGTATAAACACCCTCATCTTCTTCTGGTCGAAGATCTTTGACTACGATTGTATATTTATTATCTTCAATAGTAGTTGTTACACGTGAATCTGCAACAATTGGTTGATCATTATGAAGAAAGATAAATGGTTCTTCTGGTGTTGCATCAAACTGACAAACAATAGTGAGAGTTTCTTTTTCATTAAATTGTGTTTTTGGTAACTGCATTTCTTGTCGAACAACTGGTTTGGGATGAACAATGAGTCGAACAAGTGGTTGTTCAACACCTTTCACTTCAACTGTATAATCACCTTCATCTTCACGCTTAACTTTAGTAATATTAACTTCAGTTGTAGTAGGTGATATTGAAATTATTTTAACATGATCAGAGGGTTTAAGTTGCTCTCCATTTTTAAGTAGAACAACATCTTTTGTTGTTGTATTTTGTGGTTTTTCGATAGTTAAAGTAACTGTACTCATCTCTTCGACTTCCTGTACAGGCATTTCTGGTTTCTTCTTTGGTTCCTATAAATAAGCAAAATAGTCCAAATTCGATACGTGCATAATTACGTGATTCGTATAAATGATCAAACATGACCATGGAGATGAGGATAAAAACTTACCTGTTTTATTTCTTCAATAACTTCTTCGATAACTTCTTCGGTTTCTGGTTGGTTCACTGTAACAGTCACTGTTTCTTCTTCCTCGACTATTTCAGTTTCAGTTTGTGGTTTCTTGTCTTCAGGAACAATACTTATTGATGGTGTATCAAGAATTAAATGATCCGATTTTAGTGTATAAACTCCTTC